CAGTAACAAAACATTCTTCACACTGAAACGGAATAATAATAATAACAGAATGTATAACTTTTTTTTCTAGGAATAAGCGTGGTCGTGCTGAAGAGGTATAAATAAAGTTACTCATTGACCTTTCATCCTATTCCTCATTTAACCAAGTCTAATCATAACACGAGGCAAGTTAAGTTACTTGGATATCACGTTCGTTTTTAGAGGCTTGTTTCACCTGGAAGTTCCAATCTGACTACTATTTATAAGTGTTTACTGTCAAATAACATATCTATGATTCAGTTTAAGGAATTTAAAACAAGTCAATATTATAACACAATCAAAATAATTCTTATCACTAACTACTATGTTAACTTAATATTCAAAAGAGGACATTGATGACTGATTTCATAGACACCACTTATTTCGTTCTAGTGAAATTTTTACCAGTTAACTGACTTCCATAATTGAGAAGATTAAATTTCTACAAGAAATTTTTTAAAGTTGGTTACATTTAACTGATTAAATAAAGTTCAGTAAGAAGTACACATTTAAACATAGGGCTGTTAGATTAATATGATTGCTTCGAGGATTTCATCATGAGCTGACATCGGTTAGAGAACCATTGGAAAACCTAGGAGTACTGAACAACTATTTCGTCCTAGTTTAGGACTCTTCATCAGTACGCGCCCACCAGGGTTGCTGAAGAGACCCAAACTACGACGAAACAGTCGTCCAGTACTCCCAGGTTTCCCAATGGTTATCTAACCAATGTCAACTCATGATGAAATCCTCCAACCAATCAAACAAAATCCCTACAAACCAATACTGGATTAATATGACTTGTAAAATCTCCATTAAGCTATGAAAAAAGAGGAGTTCCGAGAAGAGTTACTTTTCTCAAGCTGCACAACCGTGTACATATATAATGTATTTTAATAGCAACAAAAGCTAGGTTTCTAAAGATGTGTCATTAAAATTTTTGACACTGAAAAGATTCTGAAGGAATATTGTTAAGGTGGAAACGGGGGCAAATTTAAGCAAACAGAGTGACGCAACGTAACTGATAGGATTAAGCGGTGTAACTAAGAATGACAGAAGGTAGAGTCAGGATCAGTGTCATTAGAAGAGATATAATAGAGAAAAGAGACAGAGAAACACATTGCAACAAAGTGCTTAGATAAGTTAAATATACTTTAAATTGAGTGACTGGACAAACTTCTGTATGCATATGGATGGCCACGGTTTCCATGATTCGATATTTAAACTCACACACCTTTCGTAAGATTCTCGTGTACTTTCTGGTCCGAAATTGGTTCGTAAATTCAATTGGTATCCAAACTGGATTACTAAAACAGTTGCAAGAGAGGTTATTTCTTTGCACTGTGAAACCATGAGGGTAAACATCAGGTGTTTCATTTGGATAACAGACAGTGAGTACGGCTCACGTACCAAACTTCTCAGGAACAGGTGAAGTCACAGATACACAATAAAGAGGCCATAAGAGGTGGCTTATCATTTGCGTACACATTCACATCATCGGTTTCATAGGGTTAAATTTCAACTGCGAAAGCTATCCTCAGTGAAAGAGACATATTTTAGTATTTCTGAGATGAATTTCCACCGCATCAGAGATTCAGATAGGAAAGTAATTTGAGGAGAGAAAATGTATGGTATAGGCTTCATGAATTTCGCGATCAAACGTTCACGGTAGCTTTTAGCAGTGAGAAACTAGTTAAGAGTACTTAGCTCAACCACCGTGGTATTCCAACTGCAAATATTACAGGTTCTAAGATTGCTCGACTAGGCCTACACCAGTAGAAGTTTGTGATTGACTGACTAACTGACTGGTTTCAACATAGAACTTTGTACCAATGTACAGCAGTTCGAGTCGCCACACCACTCATCACACAAAGCTAGAAAAGAAAGTTAAAAAAAAACGCAAAATAGAGACAGTAAACAGAGATATCAAGCAAGAAAGAATAGTAATATCGAAGAACAAAACAGTTTAATTGGAAATCATAAGTCACAAGGAGTGAATGCATCTGCGCCATTGCGAACGACTTTGAGCCATATCACCAATTGTCTCCAGCCATTGGTGTTTACCGTCCCGAGGACCCCAACCAGGAAGTCTACATCTTCCTGCGTGGCTTAAAGTAACTGTTGTGGATTTCATTGACTGATGAAGCCATGTTCTGGTTTGACCACCACTGCCTCTTTTCTAACTCGACCCTATGTCGGCTAACATTGCCCGTTGTCGAGGGAGGCGATGGTTAGGCATGCGTAACACATGTCCTAACCATCTCAATCAATGTAACTTCACTTCCACTTTCAAAAGAAGTTTGTGAGTTATTCGTCCTATGCAAGCTTTCTTCGAATGCGCCTTCTCAATGTTTCACTGACACATTTTGTCAGTCGAACACCAAGTGAGGATATTTTTAACCAGATACTTCCTCTAGTTTGAACGGGATTGCATGATGACAGCTGTTGAAAAAATATCATCTTAATTCTCTTCAATACTGGATAGAATAAAAGTAGCACGCACATATCTCTTATAAGACAGATAACTCTTAAAAATTAATCTGATGCTCGCTAGTGACCTGCTACAGGATGGAGTTTCCTGGAGTTCTAATGAGAAGTCGTGACCAGTGAGGTCTATCCAGACAGATAACTGTTGATCATTTTCCTCAAGTATGCGCTTTTGTGTTTCAACACACAACCGGAGGACCTGGCAGTTAGCCAGTGGCTGTCATTGTGTATATAACATTACTGGAAATTGAACATCTCAACAGAATTTCATCCAGATAATGAGTATGCATGGCAATATTTCATCCGTTAGGATCACTATGTTTACATATGTAAAATATTGCTTTAGTTCACTGGACATTACCTTCGGATGAGGTGTGCCATTCTAGTGCACTGAAAGTAGTCTATACAGTTCGATATATGAGCTAGGTGGTGTCGAAAATTCGAATACTTTGCAGTTCAGTCTTCAATTTTCCGAGAATATCCGTTAATTTATATTCAATTTGTTCTGTCATATTCTTCTCACAAATTGTTTTTGTAAATTTTTATTCATCAGATGGGTTTATTATTTGATGATTGGTGTAATCCTCGAGATTCATTTGTACAGTTCCTGCGCCTTTATCAGCACAGTCGCTTTATTTCTCATCAACTCTTCAAGTTTTTTTTTGTTTCTTGTTCACTATCGGTGGGATATTACTTCCGTTCAAGTTATCATACTTCCAAACTGCACTTGAAATACGAGTGGAAAATAAGATAACTACAATGGACAAATGCATAAGGAAAGAGATTAATTAGAAATAAGGATCTTCACAAATTCAATCATTCAAAAATACGTTTGCAACAATAACCTTGAACGGTGTCACCAAATCTCCAACTCCAGGCAGGTAAACTCTTATTTCCTATGTAGCTTAAATCTTCATTCAATGATTTGATCAACATTAGCTGTTTTGCTCTTATAGTATGCGACAGTCTGAAATGTGCAACAAATGTCGCTAAACAGTGCAATGAACAGTAACCAGATGTTTCCTATACATATGACGTTAGTAGTAGTAGTCTGTTGTATTGCTGTCTAACATTTTACCAAATGATTTGAAAACAAAAGCAACAGTACTAGCATGTTAGGCAACTCTTTATAGCAGATAATTATCAAAATAGACAGCGTTTACATAATGTACATAATTTTAAGCAGAGTTTATTGCATGATATTTTCTCCTCGTACAGGATCTTCAAATAAAGTATTAACTGACAAATCCTGTGACACAATCCTCTCTGAGCTGAAGCACAAACCAACCCATTATGATATTTCTGCATTGTCACCTTCGAGAAATCCATATTTGGTTGTAAGCCAATTATGAAAAGTTCAGGAGTACATCTTGAGACACAATGAAGAACAGTTACTTCGTGTTTTGGGATACGTTGCCACCCACGATCAGCCTTTTTCTGTAGTTTTGTAGAAACTTGTGAATCACCAGGTTGTAAACATTTTAAATGCACCCAAGAGTAAGCAATACCACTAGAGATCATTCTTCAATTGATTAAAACAAAGCGAACAAGAGAAGTTATATGCAATAAAGAGTGCTTTTAGTAGCTCACGTATTAAGCAGGCTGCCAGGAAGATACAATCAATGATTGTTGCCCTCTGCTTAAAAACAAAAAGGTAATCACTTGTAAAATGCGCGCATCGAGAGAATTCCACTATTAAAATTAATGAGTTACGCAATGGAATTTATGTGTAAGGAATAAGACTTAGTGAAATGTGTCCGTTTCTGTTTAACAAGAAGTCAATCAACATGTTACATGTAGATAAATCGCATAAAAGCTTATAAAATAATTACTCAGTACAAATCAGTATTCTATAACATCAAAATAACTATAAAAGGTAAACGTATCCAAGAGACCCACTAACACTAATAGAAGTCAAACGGTGAGTATTGCCCAAAGAAACTAGTATCAAGTATTCATGCGAAGGTATTTATTAAAAATTTGTTCAAAAATTCTGACGAATATATCAAATTCGTTACTTGAGACTACAAATCAGTAAATGCGAACTGAGCTAATATCAAAGTCCTCATGAATGAAAACATTTCTGTTACATTACAGTGAAAAACTACTTCTGTCTTACCCCTTCTATGAGACACACTTAATTTAAACACCATAATAATGAAAAATGCAGTTGATGTATTTTCGTCTTTGTTATCTAGGTATACATTTCAGTAAAACTTAGTCATAAATTAGAAGTTGACATTTAATAAATGAACTTACGTAAACTAATACAGCAGTTCCAGAAATAATAAACACTGAATGTATTTCTCTAGACATTGATATCTCAGTTTTGTGGTAAATGAACATCCCTCAAAGCCTGGTGAACTTAGCAGAGATTAAGAGTAAAATCAATAATTGAAGAATCTTATCAAAAAAATTAAAATATTTTGCCAACCATTCATTGTATACTATAATTAAAACACATTGTATAAATCATAATTTGTAACTAGATATTTACTCAAAAAAGCAATGTATATGAAAAGAAAAATAATAAATTGCAATGACGAAAATGGCGCTTTTGATAAAATGAAAGTAAAAGTTATTTAAATTAAAAAGAACCGGTGGTTAAAAGTTATTCAAATACACATATTAGGTATATATATATATATATGTACATATAGACAGACAAAAACACATAATATTTGAAGTGATAGAACTATGACAACGGGGCAAGGAAATGGCACATAAACTATGGTTAATAAACAGCTGATACATGACCATCTTTATAGATGAACATTCCATAAGCAAGATATGAATTTTGAAAGAAGAAAAGAAGTTAACAAATATTACGAAAGACATTGAGAAGCTACACTTGAAAAATATATAAATAATAAGATTTATATAGAATGATGACGGTAAATGAAATAAACAGGCGCTTTAGAAAAATGTGATCAAAACAATCAAAGAACACTTTAAAATCTATGTGATAATTAGCATCGTCTGACTTTTAAATTGAAATTTCCACAGTACAAATGATTAGAGAATCTGGTTTTATGATGAAGCCATTAAAATTATTATAAAGATAAAGCAGAGTGTGCAAAAGGATTTGAAAATCACATGTGGTGTTGTATTTTTAAGATATCAATGTTTCACAAAGACTTTATTCGAACGAACGAGGGGAATGATTTCGCACAATTAGGAAAGCTGTAACTTTAACAGAGCATTGTAGAAAACAGGAGCAAAGAAAATAAGAAAGGCAAAGTTATGAAGGAAGACATGGTACACCGAAAAAACACCAAATTATCTCTTTAATGATTTTGAAATTAGGAAATTATAATATCAATAAAAGGTATTTGCTGCTTACACAACTTTTGAAAAGAAAATCACCTTAAATATACCGATTATAACCTATTTTGTTGAGAAAGACGCAGGTAGATATTACAATGTGATCTGGATTTGATGTTTCTCAAACCGACAGTCTAGATTCTGGTGCAGAGGATTCAGATTCAGCAACCATAGCAGCTGCGGCAGCCAATATAACTGCAGCACCAGTGACAGCATCCACATCATTTCCTGGTTTGCACAGTCGTTTATCATCAATTGTTTCTGGTTTTATTTCAGATTCCCTGCTTGTATCAGCCGAATTAAATACTACATTTCGATAGGCTCTTTTAGCTGCATATCGCGGATGCTGATAAGCATTACTGCTATTTTGATACTGAGGTGCTTTCCAGTTTTGTGAGTCGCTGGATATAACATGTGTCGACTGATGAGGCAGCCGACTGCTGTCCACCTTACTTTCCATTATAAGGGGGTGTGATTCAGTGCAGTGTTGTCGAAAGTGTTCACTTGAATGCGGACTAATAGTATCTGTTTCGACCGGAGGAGTATATGAAATTGAAACAGAACTATGAGAACAATCAGGTTTCGAATCGTTCGGTTTTGTCAGACATGAATGTGACGACAATTCGTCTACAGATGACCGACTAACATGTGTAGTACCACAAGCTATATTTGGCGACGTCTCAGAACATTTCAAAGAATATGGACTCAACCAAGTAGTCTGAGTTGAATATGGTGACAACTTAGGTGCAGTAAATACAGAACGTCGGCGATGTCGTATAGATCGCGTATGATCATTTAGCTGTTGTACATCTTCTCCAAAATCAGATGAAATTTGATTTACTTCTGAAGTTCTATCGCATATGCTCCGATCGGTGTCCGAAGTAAATCGAGCAGTAGAATCTAATCCTGAAGAATCCGCAGTATCCGCGCCAGAATAGCTGGCAGATACAGAAGTTACAGCAGCCAACACCGCAGCAGCGCATGCAGCTGTGGAGCTATTTAATCCCAAACCACATAACTCTTTGAAACAAAGTGCTTTTACTTTTTGGAGTTCTTCAATCAATTGTTGGTTCTGACTTTCGAGGAGACTGACTCGAGCTTCTAAACATTTTACATATTCCTTCTTTTTTCTTCTACATTCCCTTGCAGCTTCTCTGGGACAGAAAAAGTAAGAATGACACTAAAGAAAGTGGCTAAATGAATACAAATAGATCAAAGAAACAAACCACAATAATTACAGAACACGGTCAAATGCTTATTTAGTTTGTTTCTAGTTTACAACAAACATTAAAATAAAAAACTATTCGAAGACCGATTGCTCAATGGTATTACAAATGCTAAAATTATGAACATTAATAAAGTGATTTTCGAAGCTATATTTACATACGTGAGCAGTTTTAGTACATAACTAATAGTCCTAAAATTCTGACTTGATAAGGTACATTCTTTCATTTGATTTACTCTTAAATTAATCAACCATTAAAAGACAAAAGCATAGTCCCTATGAGCATGAATTTAGAAACCGATTGACGGCCATCATTTTGACATGACAGGCAGGTCCGCATGCTCCAATGAATAACCCAGAGATCTGCAATGGATGTTGCTATAAGTCATAACATACCAGAAAGGTAGGCTGGATAGAAGTCAGACTAAAAGCAATTATTGTCACTGCCTAAGTCCCTTGACTGACTGAAAACAAACTCATACTGCTGCAGGACAGTACTGTAACAGTAGCAAGGTTTTCCTTTCGAGACGCAAGCAAGCGCACTATGCCACCTTTTTCTTCAAGGGAGAACAATTTGTAAAGGTCGTCCTGAAAAGAGTACATGCCAACTTAAGGAGTGGCGGCCTGCTTCGATCTTTGGGCTACCTGAATTTTTCTCCGAGATAATGCATATTATTTTCCTTAGTTTTTGTTGTTATAATCATTCAGTTATATCCGTGGGTTTCCAGATGTACTCGTGCACATTTTTAATTGCTTTACAGCTTATCATTGAGCATTTCTGTGGGACCAAGGAAAAATACCGTAGTGGATTATTTTATTCTTCAGATCTAACATCGCTGCGTTACATAATGCACTGGAGATGGCTGTTTTACTTGAAACTGCTAGATGAAGAGTAAATATTATGCAACAAACTACACTGAAAATTATGCATATTGTGTAAACTTATTGTGCATAATACCGCTATTGTTACTGTCACCTTTATTATTACGGTGGTTAGCAAATATGTACACGCAGACACTAAGCATAAACCAATGACATGCTTCCACACGTGTATGCAATTCCTCTGTTTATTGCCCACCTTCGTTTGCTTACTTTCAAACTCGTTAATATTATTCTGCAGAAAGTTTCTTCACCTTTTCCTAACTCTGTGACTATCGTTAGTTACTTCAGTCAAAAAACGCTGTTCATGGACTCATAAAAACATAATGCTAACTTTTAATTGAAGATAGCAACATCCGGAAATTATGCCAAATTGAATAACAGACCTCATCAGTTACAAACAGGTCACACTGAGCTTTATGCATGTGCTGTATCTCAGAGATACGCGAAAAAGACCCATCTGATCATTATGGTAAATTTACAAAACCCACCATAAGGGTGGATGGCTACGAAGGCTTTTTTTGTTTATGGGAGAGTGTGGGTGGTTGTTGCTTCCCGGCTGACCACATTGTGGAAGTTGATTCGCTTTCGGAGTGCCTAAAACAGGAGGTGCATTCGTGTTGCTTGACCGCACAGCCCAGGCAACAACTGATAGGGCCCCATCACGGCCTGTTTATAGTGGTTTTAAGAGTTGCGCCGATATTAAGATCACACCTCCGGCTAGGAACCGCCTCGAGGTAAATTGGTGTGTACAATTTTTGGGATCACCCTTTTATAACCTCCCTCTCCAGATCGGAGAGGCAGAGAAACTGGTAGGCTGGTCATCTGGAGGAAACACCTTATTGCCTTTATATGCCTATTCCCCAGCGGTATGACACCCTTCACAGACCTGCCACCATAATGGAAATAACTAACATGATATGACATGAAGTTGACTGCTTTTAGTCTAACCACTATCCAAACGACCTGCAGAAAAACTAGTTCCAGCCAGGTGTAGCTTGTTCGGTTACTGAGATATACAATCCCAACCACTACATCAAGGTAGCAGCTGTCGGTCGGGTCTCTATCAAATGTAGGATGATCGTCTTCTAGAACGCCTAGTTAAGAGATAGGCGACGAAACAGTTGAATGTAACGAAAAATGTGATTTGGTTGTAAGAGAGCCACGGATAACAAAACCAAAACATGGCACGGTTTGAGTTACTTGAGGTGAAAATTGGCTGGCTAGGACCAACAAGATAGTCATAATCAGTGGTTTAAGCCTTTTGGTCTATATGGCTCTAAATCGTTGACACTTGTGTGGATATATTCACTAATTTTCATTTTCAAGACTAAAAATTCTTATCAATCACCTAGTTCTTCTTCTTCATTCATTGCAGTTTCGTTACATTGTTTTTATTTCCCTTTACGTGTCTTCTCAGAATTGCGTCAACTGGAACAGATACACGTTTGTGCAAAATTCTACGCTGATGTTAGTCAGTTATAAATATGCAAAAATGCTTATATTAAGCGCATCAACAAATGAGAAACACAGAACTCAAAAGTTGAGGTCAGTGAATAAAGGGACATTGTAGATACTCAAAAATGGTTATAATCTCCAATTTCAAAATCATGGACTACAATTAAAACATACCTAAGGCTAAGTGGACTACATTTTTAAAAAACACCATAAAAACCCCTAAAACAACTGAAGCAAACTGTTTTAAAACGAAGCAAGTGTGCGTTTGCATATCCAATAAACCAATGATGCTTGCTCGACATCTATGTAACATCGACCTTACTACACCTAGTTGGAAAGAATGTTCCTGGAAGTACTACTCTGTCAGAAAGACTAGCTAGAAAGCGATAAGACTGAGAAAAATTACCACAATAAAGTAAACTGTCTACACTGATGGCGGAAAAGAGAGCGATGCAGTAAAGTGTTTCGTTAGAGAGACTACAGTTTCCTGACTTTGAGAGGCAAGGTTAGAAAAGGCCGGTCCTAAGACTGTACAACCGGACATATCCTACCGCTGTTCGAAACCAACAGCGGAGTTTTTCAAACAGACAAGAATTCATCAATAGTAACTCTATGAATAACAGTCTCAAAACAGGTCACATGCTGTCAGCAAACACGCACAGGGCTCCGAGGCCAGGCAAAAAACTACTCCTTCTCTTTTGATTGCTGCAGTTAGACGCTTATCCTACAGATATGCAATGTTAGAGTAACTTTGATCTTTGCTGAAACCATAAGGGCTGTCACAGTCAACTTGACTTCCCATTACTACTGAAATGTTGAAGCAGGTGGCGGATCATCATTAAGTCGTTTGGAATAATACTCTCACTTCTTAAGAGAAAGATGTTGGAAACGCTTAATCTAAGAATATGTTAATTGATTTGAACGAAAAATTAGTTTAAATAACTTCGTGACAGACAGCATTCAAAATATGACTAACGTAGCTATGAATGAGAATTAATACAGTTGGCATAACAAGGAAATACAATGAATACACTCACCTGTTTTTCAAAAGACGTTGTTCTCGTTTGCGATTCGGTTCATCAGTTTTAAAATCGCATTCTGTGCCACAGTTAGTTCGTAGTGACCTGCAGGAAACAGATGATCTGGAGGTAGCACCACTCCCGTCATCCATTGGTGGGTTTTTAACTCTACACTCAACATTGACTGGAGAGATATTTAGTTGTGGAGTTGCGGAATTTGATAGTGAAGAGCAACTTAATGGTGAGGTTGGGGGACAATTAGCTAAAGCAAGTTCGCTTGAAACTGATGTTGGCGTTGGAGAAAAATATCTTGGATTGCATTTATTGGAATTCCGATCGAAGGATGACTGAACACTCGAAGGATGTGCTAAGTGTGAATCGTATTTAGGTGACGTTTTATAAAACGACTGAAAGTTTGCATCGTCATAACTTCCGTGGGAAACACTAGTAGGATTGCGAGAATGATCTGCATTTTCATCAGGATCTAGAGTTGATAAATAATGACGTGTAATTTTAGTTGAACCTTCTGAGTTCATGTCCATCAAGTAAGATTCACTTGAACGATTCTGTTGATCAACACAACGAAAACTGTCGCACAGAAACGAAGTGGGGATGGATGACTGGCGCATTAAAGGAAAGCCTTGTGTCTGAGATGCTATATCCTCAGGATACTCAGGAAGAACCAAATGCTGAAAATAAAGATGGGGAAAAGTTGATTATATAAGGAGAAAAATATCACAAAATAACAAACTAGAGACAGAAAACTACACAACTCTAAGCACATACATATCCACTGAGTTTCTGCATTATAGGAAACACAAAATATGGAAGTTGGGAAAAATCCGCTCTCACCATATGAACAACTGAGGGACAATGTAGCTCTAGTTACGATTCATTAAGTCAGACACTTTTATTTTGAAGAATCTGAACTCGTACAGTTTCTGGTTCATGTAATTTAAGTTTAAATAGTGCATAGGTTTGTCTACTGTTTGGAGTGAGATGGTTACGGCACTACTAACATTAAAATTCAAACTCCCATAACTAATGTGTCTTATATACGTGCATTTACGTACCCAATACTACTAGTTCATTCAATTTAAAGGATTGTAGGCAATTTAACTCAGCGTATAACTTGTAGTTTCCTAATAACAAATCTAATTACAGTTAACGTTGATGCAAACAGAACGCCAATTTGTGACTGATACTCAACAATATTGTCTCTCATTGCAAAGGCTTTCCGGCTTATTATTTCCCCCTCAAACAAAAAAATGTCAGTTGACTTCAAAACTCATCTTTCTGATTCTATAAAGAAAGAAAGAAAGAATATATTTGCAGAATAATATGAACTGGTTTTATTTCGTGGATTCTCTTCAACTGCGTACATTCTAAATAAATCAATTGTATGTTACAAAATTTCTGAGCATACTTTTCACAATGATTTCAAGTTATTTGATTTTTTTATTTTTGATTATAGCTTGATTCTACACTGTATTTTTGGTACAAGTATGGAATTTTGCAGGCCGACCACTGATATCGGATGTGCGTCGGCAGGGGATCGAACCCCGGACCATGTGCATGGTCGGTGAGAGTCCTAACCGATGTGCCACCGACGCGTGTAAGCAACATAATTTTTAATAAACAGTTACTCTTTGAGCAACAAATAATTGTCTACGTACAACAACTGTGAAATTATGTTGCTTTCACTTTCTATCTATAACTTGAAATCATTGTAAAAAGTATGCTCAGAAATTTTGCAACACAGAATTGATTTATTTAGGATGAACGCAATTGAAGAGTATCCACGAAATAAAACCAACTCGAAATCGCCTGCAAATATGTTTCTTCCTTTACTTATTCAAACTGATAAAGGGAACTCTAGCTTGAAAATGAATTAATTACTAATGGAATCATATTCTAGAAGCATATTTTAAACAAAGAATTTCTATTTCTCAGGAGAACGTCAAACGAATTGCCCACATATAGCTCCGATAATAAGTATAAGTAATTCAACCTTAACGCTGTGTCAAAATTAAGAATCTTCCATGGAAGACGACAAGGAATCTTTCAGTTTTGACATAGTACGCCAAACGATTTACAAAATATGCTCAGAATGATTCCATATTCGATAAATTTATTTCAGATGACACACAGTGATGTAGTATTAATAACTGAATAATGTTTCGAGCAGAATCTATTGCTCATAATCATATCAATTAGTGAGAAACCTCTCTCTCCACGAAACTACATTATTTTTTAATACTCTCACCCTGTCCCACCTTATTTTGTAATTACATGCAAGAGAGTGCAGTGCAATGGCTGAGCTTTTTTCTGGGTTATTAAACTTCGAAGGGTCAATCATTCTACGTATAGCCAATAATCTAATTGAACTTCGCCTAGTTAACTAGCTTGCTAGTTTTCTAGCCGGTCCAAAGCCCGAGTAAAGAGGGAGGGTTGGGTGTGGGGCCAGCAAACCCACACCACTAAATCTTTCAAAACGCTAGAGAAACTTCAACACACACAAAATATATTATAAAGACAAAAACTTCAAATAACAATAATCCTATTCTTCGCTCGAATCGGTCAGTGAAAGCCTTCGGGAAGTCAGTCAGCCAGCCCAAGTGTCTTCTCTCAATGAAAGCAAGAGTAAGAATCGAATGTCCGTACAGTGTACTAGGCTGGCTGGGAAGGCTACCCAGGTAGCCAAAGAGATGTGGAGATTTGGCTTAGAAGTACTGGGTATCTGTGAAAGCAGATGGAGTGGATATGGATTGACAACATTGTCAACAGGAGAGCCAATCATCTACTACGGTCACCTACGCAGACGACATCCACGAACACATTGAGCGAGTGGCTATCACGATGTCACCAGTGACAGCCAAAGCTCTAATGCAGTGGGGACCAATTTCATCCAGGATCATGACAGCAAGATTCAACTCTAAAGGAAGGAAGGTAACAATTATCCAATGCTACGCACACTGCTACAAACAACGAGGAACAAGGAAAGAAGGAGGATTTTTACACACAACTACAAACAGTAATGGACAACATCCCAAATGGTGACATTAAAACCTTCATGGGCGATATAAATGCCAGTCTAACTGGGAGCAGATAATACAGGAAGAGAACTCATCATAGGTCGAGAGGCTCTCGCTCGGAGAAATGAATGAGAACGGAGAATTATTCGCAGACTTCAGCGCTTTCAACGATTCGGTGATCGCAGGGAGCGTGTACAAACACAAGGATATGCACAAACTGACATGGATTTCGCCTGACAGACACACCACAAACCAGATAGATTTCCTCTCCATCTCAAGGAAAGGAGACGCAGCCTGCTAGACACAAAGTCGAGAAGGGGAGCAAATGTGCGATCAGGCCATCATCTAGTTCCAGGAACCTTCAAGGCGAAGCTGAAATCCTTCAGAGTAACTGGAGGCAGGCCACAATTCAGGTTCAACATTCAGAAACTGAAGGACAAAACTATGAGAGATGTCTTCGCTACAAATAAGATCAGAGCAAAGTCGGACACACTACGTGGCATCACTGAGGAAACCTGTGTGGAAGAACATTGCAACTCTCTGAAAGCGATATTTAAGGAGACGTGTACAACTGTTCTAGGGAGAAGGAAGAGACAAGACAAGGAATGGCTGTCAACGGATACCTGGAAGCTAATGGAGGAGAGGTGGATAATGAAAGAGAAGATGACTCATTGCAAAGATGCACAACAGAAGGAGAAGCTGACTTCAATGTACACTGCACTGAATAAAGCATTGAAGAAGAGTTCTAGAAAACACAAACGACAATTCTGTGACACACTGGCTGGTAACTGAAGCAGAACAGGCATGGCGCAGGCAAAAGAGACATCAGGACACTATATCAGATAACCAAGTCTTTATCTGGGAAGAGATCAACCCAGATGATGAAACCAATGAAAGATGCTCAAGGGAACCCGATCACCAAGGAGGAGAAACAAATCAAACAATGGACTGACCACTTTAAAGGACTCTTGAATCGACCAACACCGGCAACTCGCCCAGAAATACAACCACCACCAACAGCACACACGGAAAAGCCTATCAGTTGACACGAATCCTCCAGCGAAAGAAAAAATCCTGAATGCGACCAAGCTACTGAGCTGCAGTCGGGAAGGCAGCAGGAAAAGACGGAATTCCTCCCGAAGCACTGAAGACGGCCCCAGGGATTACGGCAGATGTTCTCACTCCATTACTGCAAAACGTCTGGAAAGAAGGAAAGCTGTCTACTGATTGGAAGAAACGCTAACTACCTCGATTCAGGCCTGTGCAAGAACTGGCGTGGAATCATGCTCTTATCCACACCAAGTGAAATACTAAGTCGCATCATCCTGGAGAGAATGAAGGATGCACTGGATACGGAACTCCGCCAACCGGAACAAGCTGCATTAAGCAAAGGCAAATCATGTGCTGATCAAATTGTCACTCTACGCATCGTCATCACAGAACAAAGCATAGAATGGCAGTCTAACCTCACTCCACCTCAACTTCATCGACTTCGAAAAGGCCTTCGACAGACAGAGTTGACCGAGAAGTAATTTGGAAACTACTTCAACACTGCGGCGTGCAGTGCCCAAGTCTTTCCCAACCTCATTCAACAGCTGGCTATATGACAATGCCACGTGTCAGTCAGGTGATCTACAACGGAAAACTCACTCAGCAAGGCGTTCGAAGTGCATACAGGAGTAGGACAAGGCTGGCTGCCTATTATCACCGATGATATTCTTAATTGTGGTGCTCGACTGGATCATGCTTCAGACTGTGTGTCGGGAGTGAGAAGACAGAAGTACGCTGGACCACCTATAAGAAGACTCTAGAAGATCTGGATTTCGCGCGTGGATGATATGTGTCTAATGTCACACAAACTCGAAGACTTGCAGGCGAAAACCAACAAACTGGCCGAAGAGGCAGCGAAAGCAGGACTCCAGGTGAACACAGAGAAGACGGAGGTGATGAAGATAACCAATCAACAGCAACAACAACCAGCACCAATCACCATCAACGGGAGAGATTTAACAGAGGTTACCTCCTTCACTTATCTGGGAAGCATCGTTTCAACTACAGGCGGAACGGATGAAGATGTCAAAGCCAGTCAGAATCGGAAAGGCAAGATACGCCTTCATCCACCAACCTGAAACCAGTTTGGAAATCTTCTGCACTCAGCCAGCATAAGGAACAAGATTCGCATTTTCAACACCAATGTGAAGTCGGTTCTTATATATGGGTCAGAAACTTGCACTGCGTGTCACGAAAAGGATTTCCAACAGGCTGCAGACTTTCATCAACAGCTGCATTCGCTGGCTCCATACTGAGGATCAAATGGTCAGAAAGAATAAGCAACAAGAAACTATGAGAAGAAACCAACCAAGAGCCGATCGGGCATACATTGAGGAGGCCACCGAATGACATTGCACGCCAGGCCCTTGAGTTGAATCCAAACGGGAAGCGATGAGTGGGTCGTCCTAGAGTGACATGGAAGAGATCGTGTGAGGAGAAGATGAGAGTTAGGTCAATCGTGGATCCAGCTGAAGTGGATGGCAGAAAACAGAACAAAGTGGAGATGTGTCGTTGAAGCCCTATGTTTCACTCAGAACGCAAAGGAATATTAATAATTTTTTTATTTTTTTTTTCTTTACAGCTTGATTCCACACAGTACTTTT